AAGAAAATTGGGGCTTTTCGACTTTTTTGGTGTGTCTGTTAAAGGGCAGCTTGGGTTGGGTTCTCGGCCCTGTTCTGAATCTCCCTGGCCCTCCTGCCAGTGAGAGTCCATCGGTTCGTCTCTGTCCCTCCACACGACTTCTGGGGTTATCCTCCTGAGATGCGACTAGAGTCATTACCTGCTCCATGTTCTAGTGCGACCGAGCGTGGAGCTACTTCGTGTTAAAAATCCCACTTGCCCTGGAGCGCGACTGGACTCTGGAATATCAGCACATCCGCTTTTGGAGAGATCGCTGCCCCCGGAGTTAGGATCCCATAGGCCTTTAGGGGGAGGTTGCAGGGGCGGAGGGAGGCAGGGGAAGTTTGTGGTGAGGGGGGGGCGGGGGGCCTGACCTGACCTGCTTGTTCACCACAGATGACATCGTGGGCTTCTCAGGGGACTTTGGGAGCGGTGTCGGCTGGGAGGACGAGGAGGAGAAGGAGGCGGAGGAAGCGGGTGAGGAGGCCGAGGCTGAGGAGGAGGAGGGCGAGGCGGGCGAGGCCGACGACGGAGGCTACATCTGGTAGACGGCCGGCGGGCCGCGGCGGGGGACAGGCAGAGACGGGACAGCAGCAGGCGGCCCACGAGCGGACCCGGGAAGTACAGTTGGGAGGACCCTGGCTCCAGCTGGAGGACTGCAAGTGTGAGTGTGCGTGGCACGCGTGTGGCCCAGACGTAAGAATGCCTGTGCGTGTGTGTGCATGTGTGTGTGTGTGTGTAGCATGTGCTGACAAACGTGTCCTTGGTCAAACTGCTCCTGGGGACCAAACACCCCTTTGGCCTCCTGGTAGTTATTTTCATTCCATTTGTTGTTGGTTTTAAAATGTACCCGTTCACACACATACCCACTGAAAGGTCAACATTGATGAAATGAGATGCCCCCCTAGCCATGTCCCCTGGCCGCATCCGGGTCTGCCTGGCACCCTGGTCCTGATTGGCTCCCCTCGGCCAGCCCTGACTCCTCCTGCTCCTGCCTGCCCTTCTTCCTCCCCTTGGGGTCAAGCTCTAGCTGCTGGCACATCCCTATCAGAGGGGAGGGTGGGCAAGGAGCTGTCTGCTGGCTGGGGGTCTTCCCAGAGCTCGGCCAGTTTGGCCGTGACAGTCCCACTGGCCTCAGGTGAGATGGGCAGGGACCCCCAGCACAGCAGGCCCCCCCTGTGCGGGGCTGGGCGGGGCGTGGAGCGGAGCGGGTGGCCGGCAGGGACCCCCAGCACAGCAGGCCCCCCCCTGTGCGGGGCTGGGTGGGGCGTGGAGCGGAGCGGGTGGCCGGCAGGGAGAGCAGCCGCTGCAAATCCAGGCAGAGCTCTTAGGGGCACAGACACCCCAGCCTCTTTCTGTGGCTCCGGGGTGAGGGCCATTCCCTTAGAGCCGTGGGTGGTGACAAAGTGAGCTCTGCCTGGCCACGTGGGGAGCACCTGCTCCCGTCCCCCTGGCTGGGGCCCCCTAGTCCACTCTGGGAGCCTGGGGATCGGGCAGCAGTGAGGAGCCTGGGGTGTCTGCTGCACCCAGCTCCTCCCTGACCCCTCAGTAATGCTCCCCTCCCCACAGACCAGTAGGAAGGTTGACCCCGAGCCCCTGCGAGGGGAGCAGTGAAACGGCAACCCTCCTGCCTGAGACCAGGACCTTTTCCCATCTCCCTCAAGTGCCAGCGCTCCTATGCCTGGGCCATTTCCTGCCCCTCCCCTCGCAGCCCCTGCGGCTTCCTGTGTCCCCTCTGATGCCCCCAAGGCTGCTCTGGGGAGGGGCTTCTCCATGCTCTGAATCCAGGGGGGAGGGACGGACCAGCCAGGCACTGAGGCCACGCCTCTCGGTCCCCCAAATCTCTCTACCAGGAGGGAGCCAGGGCGGAGGAGACGGTGCTGTGCTCCCCGTCAACCTGCCCAGTTCTCCCTGCTGAAGCGAACCCCTAACACCATTGGCGAAGCATTTCTTACCCAGACTGGGGCCTCTGATGCTGTTCGGTGTGTGGTGAGGGCAGTGTGAGCGTGTATGTGTGTGTGTGTGCATGTGTGCGCGTGTGTATATGTATGTGTGTGAGTGTGTCTATGTGCTATGTATGCATGTGTGCGTGTGTGGTGTGCGCGCGTGCACGTGTGTATGTATGTGTGCACACGTGCAGGCACTTTGTGTGAGACGAGGGGCCACCCCTTGGGGCCCGGGCTGTGAGGAGGGGCACCTTGGGTGCTGGGTGGGTGGCAGGCCGGGGGGTTGCTCTGCGGCTCCTGCATCCGCTGCGCCCGCTGGACTTGCTGGAAGAACCTCAGCCCGCCTGCCCCTTGCTCCACCCTGGACCCCGCACCTTCCAGTCTTCTCTTGGGGAAATAGTGAGACTCCAGTGAGCCCCACCCACCGCCTCTCACGCTGCAGCACAGTCCTGTCAGGGTGTCGTGTCGTGTGGTCCCACACCCCCACGTCCCGCCTCCCACCGCCCCGCCCTGCCCGCCACCTCCTCCCCTGGTCCCAGCTCAGCTCAGTGCAGGGAAATGTCTTTCCCCGCAGCCCTCTGCTCTCTGAGCAGCCGCTTCTCACTCGGAGCTACTTGAACTTGTGCTCGCGCTAGGATCGAGGTCTGTCTGTCTCTTCCCTCTGAAGTGTCCCCCAGGTGGCTGTGGAGGATCTGGGGTGTTCTGGGGTGGGAGGCAGGGAGGAAGGGGTGCCCTTCCCCTCTGTGACCCTCCTCTCTCTCTGGTGGGGGCCTATGCTCTCTGTGTCTCTGGGTCTTCCGGTTGTGCACGTTTTTATGACCTTGTAAATATGTTGTAGAAAGAAAGCAAAAGGCCTTGCCCTGTCTCTGCAGCCCCCACACTGCTCTTCACCCCACGCTCTGAGACCCAGCCCCCCAAAGTTGACAAAGCAGCTTGTTCCCAGGGGCTGCAGGCCTCAGGTGACGTCTCATCGGGCAAGCTGCGGTGTCCTGTGAGCAGGCTGCAGGGGCCTCCTCAGCTCCTTGGATTCATGCCCAGGCCCACGCGGCCACCTCCTGGGCCCTCCTGCGCCCCCTCCGTCCTCCCCGCTCCCCGGGCTGACGCAGGCAGTGGAATCAGGACTGTGTTGAAAAGATCTCAACCAAAATTTAAAAAGAAGAGTTTCTTGGGCCCTGGAGCTGCCCAAGACCTTCCATGCCATGGGTGCTGGGGGGAGGGGCAAGGCTGAGAGGGTAGGTTGGGGTTGGAGAGAACAAATGTGCCTTGAGGGGCCACTCAGGGCCCACGGGTGACGGGGAGGCGGCGTGGCGTGGAGCTCAGGAGGGAGAGGGAGGAAGGGGGGTGAGGTCGATGAGAGTGTGATGGGTATCATGAGCTATTGTCCCCTGGGGCTGTGGCCATATGGGGTCAGTGGTCACCCCCTTTCCTCATGCCAGCCTGTCCAGTTTAGAGGGCAGGCCACCCACTCGGCCTTTCACGAGCTCCATCTGCTTCCAGTTCATCCTCTGAGTGGGTGGGTCCATGGGATCAACATTCACCAAAGCCTCCCCCTCAGCCCTTGGGGAGAGTGAATGGCCAATCCGCCAACACCTGACATCATCGTGAGGCTGGGGGCCGGCAGGGGTCACAGGGAAGATCCACTAGGGGTGCGAAAGGAGACTCAGACACCCCGAGGAAGTCCCAAGCGGAGCAAACTGCTTTATAGCCTGAAGCTACTTCAACTGTGTCATGTGCAATAACTGAGCTTAGAGTTAAGAATTGTGTTCAAGTGCTTGGATTTCCGTCTGTATATTTAAGTGCTGAAATCGTATCTCTCAGTAATTTTAGATGTCTTTAAAAAAATCGAAAAACAAAGTGTTAGACCGTGTGTGTGCATTAATGGGCACTCAGCGACCCATGGGTCACCCCACCCCTCCTTCCCCTGTGGCCCCACCTCGCACACCGAGCCCCGCCTCCCGTGGGGACCCCGCCTCGTGTTGTCTTATCTGCCTATTACTCAGCCTAAGGAAACCAGTACACCCCACATGCATAAAGGAAATCAAATGTTATTTTTAAGAAAATGGAAAATAAAAACTTTATAAACACCGCCTTCTGGCAGTACTGTTATTCTTCCCCTCGGCGTCATTTTTCACTAAAATGGCGTTCACAGACGGGGCCCAGAACAGACTGCTGGTCAGCACGGGCACGTGGGGCCTGGGGAGGGCGGGGCTGGGAGGCGGGGACTGACCTACTGAGGGAGGGCCAGGAGCAACTTAGAGATTTTTTTGATATCATTGCAAATACAGGTATATATAGACTTTGAATCATTATTAATTCCAGTGGGTTAAATCTGAAAAAGAACCATTGGAATGAATAATGATTCAAAGTATGTATATAGTTTTTGGGATATATATACACATATATATGTGTGTGTGTGTGTGTGTGTGTATGTGTGTGTGTGTGTGTGTGTGTGTATAAAATATATATTTGTCTATTTGCCAATAAATACATCTCTATCACAAAGTAGAGTTCTAGCTCTATAGCCTGCCTTTTCCATTTAACCCATTATGAACCTTTTGCTATTAGAGTTATTTGAAGACATGACTTGAATATTTGCATAGTGTTCCACAATATGATGGACTCTAAGGAATTTAACCATTTCTCTGTTTTTGGGCCTTTCTGTTGTTTCCAATTTCTTGACAGTCTCAACTGTAGCCCTAGAACTTACTAACTGTGACCTTGGGCAGGTCACCTGGCCGAGGGGAGGAAAGCCCACCTCTCACGGACCACGTGCCTGTAGCGGTGCTTTCGGAACAGCGGGAGCTCTGCACAGGTGTCTACCTTTGCCCCTGCCAGCCCCTAGCTAGGGCAGGCTCTGCCTGGCTGCTAGAATGGGTCCTACGGAGGGAGCTCCTCTTGTGGGCGGGGAAGGGCCCTGCAGGATGGTTTTCTGCCCTTTGGCTTTCTCACGGCCCCTGCAAGGTCACACTTGGAGGCTCAGGAGTGTTCCTGGAAGGAAGTGTGAGGAGTGATGTGTCTTGACAAGGAGCTGCTCCCAGCACACAGGATGGAGGAGAAAGTGGGTGGACGCAGGGTTGGAGACCCCTGGTTGCTGGCTTACTCTGGGCTTGTGGGAGCCTGTGGTCTTGGAAGTGGAGGAACGTGTGGTAGGTATGGGTCAGTGGAAGCATCTTATGCCAGCCTGTGAGGCAGGTATTATTAATGCCCATTTTGCAGATGAGGAAACTGAGTCTCAGAGAGGTTTGTTAACGTGACCTGGGATATACAGCGAGCGAGGAGCAGAGCCTGGAGTCTGCTTCCTGTCTACCATCTAACACAAAGCAGGCTGCCCTCAGTGCCCAGGGCCTGCTCCTCATATGGCCCCCAGGTGCTCAGGGGAGGAGGGTCTCCTGTGTGGGGTAAGTCCAGGAAGGCTTCCTGGAGGAATGGGACTTCAGCTGGGTCCCCTAGGTGGCTAGGAATGATCTAGTGGCCCAATGCTGGCTGTACATTAGAATCATCTGGGGAGTCTGGGCTCCCCAGGCCCCACCTCCAGAGATTCTGATTTCACTGTTTGGGCTGGGCCCGGGCAGCAGTGTCTCTGCTCCCAGGTGATGCTAATGTGCAGCCATATGTGTGCCATCAGACTGAGCAGACAGAAGCAGGGTGTGTCCCTCGAGCAAGGACAGGGCGTGCCAGAGGCCAGGGCAGGAACAAGCCTGTGAGGAGCCAGGACCGGGCCTTCACCTCTGGGTGGGGACAGTGTGAGGCAGTTTCCTGGCAGGAGAGCTTCTGTTTTATTGCTTCACCAACATCTTGTCAGTCACCATCCAGGCCTCAGTACCAGTCACAGAGGAGCCTGAGCCCAGAGCCCTCTGAGCGAGCATCCTCAACCTGCAGGGAAACGTTGGTGTTCGCACTCGATCAACATCTGTTCAGGCGGCTGGGAGGTGGAGGCCCCGGCTTCTGGAACAATACACCAGTGGTCCCCATACCTGGCAACCTGGGTCTCCAGTGGCAAAGAGAGCATTGCTGGGACAGGCCACGGCTGCCAGCTGCCAGGAAGCACGTACTGCCCACCTCTTGGACATGGCCCTCGGCCGGTCTCCCACTGCTCCCTGCACTGTGGGCGCCCCCTTGCTCTGGCGCACGGCTCTTGCTCAGGCTTTGGCCTCCTGGGGACAGGGGCTGTTCATTTACTGCTCTTAGGACAGTGGTTCTCAACCTTCTGGCCCTTTAAATACAGTTCCTCATGTTGTGACCCAACCATAAAATTATTTTCGTTGCTACTTCATAACTGTAATGTTGCTACTGTTATGAATCGTCATGTAAATATCTGATATGCAGGATGGTCTTAGGCGACCCCTGTGAAAGGGTCGTTCAACCGCCAAAGGGGTCGCGACCCACAGGTTGAGAACCGCTGTCTTAGGAGAACAACTGGGCCCGAGGACAAATCTGAAAGAAAAAGACAAACCCGTACGGTAGGAAGGACGGAGCCAGCCTCCCCCACCTGCTGCCTGGGCCCTGTGCTGTGGCGGGTTTCACATCTTCGGGTGGAGAGGGGGCGGGTTTGACCAAGAATACAAGAGCAAGCAAACGACGACAAAACCCTAACTTTAAAAAACAACTTTTTAAAATTAATTTTTGAGCAAAATAGGTGAGGGAGAGGAGGGAAACACAACTGATTGTGTGCGCCCATCAGCATCCTTCGTGCTTTTTACATGATGCCGTCCAACGCCCCCCACCCCCTCCGCCAGGCACGTCTTACCCACCCCCCCTGCCATCCAGGAGACAACTGTGCCGGGGTGACCTTGGCTCCCGCGGCTGTACACGGTGAGCCGATGCTGCCAGGCCTGGCTGACTCCGAGGTCGCCCCCTTCCGCTGCCACTCCTGGGGGGTACCCACAGCGAGCTGGCAAGTCCCGCAGGGAAGCGCCATAAACAAGTCACGCGAGATGTGGACGGGAGCTGGAGGGCCGGGGAAGGGCAGGAAGAAGGAAGGACACTTGGATTCGCCTGGCTCTGCCTCGGAGCTCGGTCAGCTCTGCTTCCTGAGCCTCAGTTTCCCCAGCGGTCAGATGAACGGATGGGACCAGCGTGCCCAGTTCTGTGACTCTCTGGAAGAGTGCAAAGGTATGAATCCAGAAACCGGTGTCAGGATTTTCTCTCTAACGTGCACATTTACTCTAATTAACACCCAAGGGCTCACACATTTGCAAAGAAAATTGTGCTGCAAAGAGAACCCTGGGGAAGGCATGTGAGCCACACAGCCATCTTCCTGAAGGGGGAACGGCTGGGAGAGGCCAGCGCCATCGCCAGGTGCCGGCCAAGGAGGCCAGGCCAGGTGGTGGGTCACCGAGCCAGTGGCGGGGGCAGACGCTGACCTCAGACTCAGCCCTGCCGGAGCCTTCCCCGCATGATGTCATCGAGCCTCACAACAAGCCTCATCATCCCATGGTTGCGAAAACCAGTCACACACCGTCTCTGACAAGTCCTCTCACTGTCCCCCGTTATAGATGGTGAGGCCGAGGGCCTGGGGGGCAAAGAGCACAGGGCTGAGTCAGTGGCTGAGCTGGGACCTGGACCAGGGGCCATGCTCTGAGCTGCCACCTGATATAACTTTAAAAAAAACACCTTTTATTAGCATTTATTTTATGCTGAATATACTCCTAGGTCATACGTTTCTGTTCCTTCAGATTCTTCTGGGAAATCTTTTTCTTCTGTGCACCCTCCTCCTCTGGTTTAGGGACAGTCTGCTCCTTTTCAGTAGGATCGTCTCCAGGTGGCAGGGAGCGCTGTGAATGGGTCAATCCGCCCATGAGCTCTGTTACGTTCTACTCTGCATCTTGGGAGCTTTGGTCACCGGGATGTGCTCAGTGACCGAGCGTCTACCTGTTTTGCTCTATACCCTGGGTTCTCAAACTTTTTAAACAGGGGGCCAGTTCACGTGTCCCTCAGACCGTTGGAGGGCCGGACTATACTTTTATTTTATTTATTTATTTTTTTAAAATATATTTTATTGATTTTTTACAGAGAGGAAGGGAGAGAGATAGAGAGTCAGAAACATCGATGAGAGAGAAACATCGATCAGCTGCCTCCTGCACATCTCCTACTGGGGATGTGCCCGCAACCCAGGTACATGCCCTTGACCGGAATTGAACCTGGGACCCTTCAGTCCGCAGGCCGATGCTCTATCCACTGAGCCAAATTGGTTTTGGCCGGACTATACTTTTAAAAAAAACTATGAACAAATTCCTATGCACACTGCACATATCTTATTTTGAAGTAAAAAAACAAAACGGGAACAAATACAATATTTGTATTTGCATGTGGCCCGCGGGCCGTAGTTTGAGGGCCCCTGCTCTACATCCTTAAGTCCAGCATCACTCTCTGCACCTGTAAGCATGTGCAGCAAGAATTCAGCACTCTTTTGGGGCCACCGACCCTGTGTCCAGCCCCACTTTTGGGCACACCTACCAACACCACCATTGTAACGACCAAATGGCACCCCTTGATAGTGACATCCTTCAGCTACTTGGTTGCTTTTTGGATATGCCCACCCTTGATGGCCTGGGCGGTTTCACCCGGTTCTTAAAGTGAACACGAAGAGCCCTGGTCGGTGTGGCTCGGTTGGTGGGAGCATCGTCCCTTGCACCAAAAGATCGAGGTTTTGATTCTGGGTCAGGGCACATACCCAGGTTGGGGGTTGGCTCCCTGGTCTGGATGTGTATGGGAGGCAATCAATCAATGTTTCTCTCTCTCTCCCTCTCCCTACCTCTCTCTAAAAATTCATGGAAGCCTCTCCTCAGATGAGGATTTTTAAAAAGAACTCAAAGATTTGAGCCTCTTGATTTGCACGGTTTTGTGGGGTTTTCTGGGTCAAGTGAATAGAGGACCGTTTCTAGGCATTGCCTCCGGCTGCTTATGGGAAGAGCTGATCTGACTCCTGTGCTGCTTCTCTGGGAGCCTGGGCAGCCTCCACGCCTCTGCCTCGGCCTCCGCGGTCGGTCAGCCTCTAGAGAAGGTGGGCCGGTCCTCCGGTCAGGCCTCCGCTCTGCCTCCCATCCCTTCCTGACTCCCACCACACAGTGAGAGGGCGATGGTTTCCCT